GATGCGGGACTCGATCCCAGGACCCTGGGATCATGACCTGAGCCGAAGGCAGACGCTTAACCAACTGAGCCACCCAGGCGCCCCACTTTGAGTTCTTAAAACTTTTGAAGTTCAAACTTACAGAAAGTTTCTTTCCTTTTCTTCTGTAAACTTCATACAACCAGTTATGTTGTAGAAGGTCCCTCAATTTAAATTGGCCTGATGCTTCCTTATAATTAGATCCAGGTTGTGCTTTTTGGGTTTGTTTTTACAAAAATGGCACAAAAGGGGGGCCACTGAGGGTGGCTCAGTCGGTTAAGCGTCTGACTCTTGATATCAGCTCAGGTTGTGGTCTCAGGGTCCTGGGATCAAGCCCACATCAGGCTCTGCGCTCAGTGCGGAGTCTGCTTACCCCCCCTCCTCTCCCCGCCCCCGCTCGCTCTAAAAAATGAATAAAATCTTTAAAAAAACAAACCAAAAAATCCAAGAATGCCACAAAGGTGATACTTTGCTCTTAATAGTTATGATCCATGATAGTGGTCTGTCCCATTACTAGTAATGCTAATTGTGCTTGGATAAGGTGATACCTATCTGGTTCCTTCACTGTAAAGTTACTGTTTTTCCCCTTTCTAACTAGTATTTTATTTTATGGAAAGATACTTTGAGACTATACGCTTTCCCTTACAAACTCACCTGCCAGTTTTAGCACCCAAAGATGATGACTGCCTAGATCAATTATTACTGCAGTGGCTGCCAAATAGTGACTTTCTAATTTTGTCATTCTTCCTGTTTCATAGGTCGCTATTATTCTAACAGAGAGCTTTCCCTTTTCCTTCATGGATTTACTCATGGCGATACAAACTGAGTACACAGAATGTATAATACATGCTCCTAAATCTTGAGAGATACCTTTGAAATATTTATGTAGAAAGGTCATGATGTCTGTAGCTTATCCTCGAATGCTTCAGCAAAATAACAGCAATAATACACACACAATCAGGAGTGTCAAGTCAAATGTGACAAATGTTATTCAATCTAATTGAACAGTATATGGAAGATCATTGTACTGTTTTGCAACTTTTTTTGTGGATCTTTTTTCAAAATATAAGGCCTATATACAGCAGTTTTGAGACACACTGCCAAAACCTTCACAGATATTTGAAAAAAAATTAAAGTCAGCCTATAGTTTTAATTTACCAGCATTTGAATATATTCAAATTTTATTACCATTGTCTGTAGACATTTAACACTAGCATCTGTGCAACAGTCCTCTGAGGCAGAGAGCACACCACACAAATCTTACATACCAAGATAACAGTACCATGTTCGACAAGACTGTTTCATGATTAAGTAAACCAAGCATGACAAAGCAGCTGACTCATGATGAATGATTCTAGTTTTAGGACATAAGTGAACTGATCACAGAGGGAACATTAAAATAATATTAAAATGTTTAAAAAGTTTAGAATTTTTTCCTAAGACTATATATAGGCAGGTTCACATAATAGAAACCTGTCCATTACAGCACTCTGAGGTTTTAGCAAAGCATACGTTATAGACATATTTGCCATATAGTGCAATTTTATTGTGTAAGACATGAATAATAGTGCACTTAAATCCAAGAGTCACATTCAAATATATCAAGAATACAATCCAAATACCCGGCTATTGAAGAAATACATACTCTTTTTTTATATAACTACATTGTGCAAGTACATTTTTAGTGTAGATGGTAATAATCTATAAGGATTCTAAGCAACACAACTCGGTGTACTTGTGTAGAATAATCCACGTCTCCAAAGATATGTGCATTTTAAAAGTGAAGGAAATGGAAAATGTCTTGGGCAGAGACACAGGCAGTGTTGCACAAGTTGTTTTTATTACAAATTACCAATACAGTTAATCTGTATACTCACAGGTGGTTAAAACAGAATGGTTCTAATCAGGAAGCTCTCATCAGGAATTATTTTTTAGGACAATGTAGTGTCTACAGCGAGCCCCACTATCTTTCACTGAATTAAGCACAAACTACAGTTCCACAACGAGTTCAAAAATAGGACTTTCTTAAGGGGAATTTAGATAAGAAGTTCAAACCTTCCAGAACCTCATCCTACAGTTTCATGGGGTCTCATCTGAGCTACTGGTTTAAAGGAAGAAGATGCTGTGGACATGATATAAAGACTGAGTGATGGGAGAAATAGTTTACTTAAGAGAAAAAACCAGAAAACTGATACGATAAGAAAATTAGCACTTCGTATCATCTGAGAATAAATATTAATGGAGAAATCAGTCTTTAAATGTTTTTTGTTAAGATGGTGAATTACATAAAAATACTATCTGGTAATAACTTAGGGTATCAGCTCTGGAGGGGGAAAAGATCTAACCCACATTAAAGAATAATAAATAACTAATCTATGTTGTCTTGAGCTATAATAAACCTGTACCAGATGTATTGACTGATTTCATTCTCTGGGAAGTTTCAAAGCTGCCAGAACAGGGGCAAATTCTAAAATTTGCCCTTTTTTTGGTCCAGGAAATAACTTTCTCATAAAAGGTGCTCATGATAACCTCTTGTAGTTACCAAAATTTTGCCTCAGGTTGGGGTCTGATAGTAAGTGAACCAGATGAACTGGTTAAGGCTGCCAATTAAAACAGCTAACTCTGAAACCAGATTAACCACAAGAGTCACATCTCTACTAAGCAGATTTTAAATTTTTTAAAAATTATTTTTATTGGGGCGCCTAGGTGGCTCAGTTGGTTGAGCGACTGCCTTCGGCTCAGGTTGTGATCCTGGAGTCCCGGGATCGAGTCCCGCATCGGGCTCCCTGCTCGGCAGGGAGTCTGCTTCTCCCTCTGACCCTCCTCCCTCTCATGCTCTCTCTCATTCTGTCTCAAATAAATAAATAAAATCTTTAAAAAAAATTATTTTTATTTATTTATTTGCGGGAGAGAGATAGATAGCATGAGCAGCAGGGAGAGGGAAAAGCAGGCTCCCCGCTGAGCAGGGAGCCTGACATGGGGCTCGATCCCAGGACCCTGGGATCATGACCTGAGCCACCCAGGCACCCCGCAGATTTTTTTTTTTAAGTACAGCAAAACGTTCCTTCTATTTTTCACTTCAAGAGACAAACTACTGATCAGATCTTTCCCATGATACTGATTTTTAAATTTAATATAAATACTCAAAAACTAAAATATCACTAAATTTCATCCTTTAAAATGAAAAGTAATGACATATCACCTCTGTAAATCAGGCCTCAGAGTTCAAAGAAAAGCTTTTAAATTACCCATATGGGATCTGAAATGACTATTGTCTTCCAAAGTTTTCCCAAAAATCACTTTAAAATCTTGTTTCAAAGGCCTAATTTTTCTCAGAAACAAAATATATTTATAGGTTGTTTTAATTCTATTAGATTTTATAACTTTCTGCTGTTTTCTTTCTATTTAATAAAATCAGAATGAAAAATTTTGACCAATTACTGAAAAGTCTTACCACCCAAAAAGTTTCAAAATCTTAATATAATCAACCAACTATGTTCTTGTGGTTTCTAAAAAAAAAATGGTTAATTTAAAATCTAAGGATCCTTGTACTGCCGATAGAAGACTGTAGCAATCTTTTGTATTTTTAGAATATTCTCTGTAGGACCTACTTTTGCATCCCCAAAATGTAAACCAGCCTTTACTATAAATGAATACATAAGATGCTTAATATATATAAACTTGATTTTATCTCACTTGGTTATTATTGGCTCCTACGGGGTAATTCGCTTGCTCACTAATTCTGCCACCACTCTCTTCATTCAAGTTTTTAAAGCCACATTTATCAAAGATGATTCTCCAAACTTAAAGTTTAACAAGTATCTTCTCATGAGTATATCCACTGTATGTATTCTTCTTATCCAAGGAATGGGTAACTTCATAATATTACTAAAATCCCTCTTTAAATTATATTGATAATGCACCTCTGACACAGTTCTTGAGTTTGGGAAAACCCTAATATTTGCATTATTAGATGTCCCCTTTGAAAATACACTGATATCAAAGTTTGTTTTTTATGACCTATAAACAGAACTGAGGTTTGCACAATCCCTAATTATAAATTAATACTAAAATGCAAACTTGTCCAAATAGCTTAAGATCACTGCCTCAATAAAAGAAAGAAAAAGAAACACTATGCTATTATTGGACTATGTCTCACACATAAAATGTTCATCAGGAAGACAGGTATAAATTGATGGCATACACTTTCTCCATGACCAAGCCTAATAAAAGCTCCCACCCACAGAAGCCCTATGGCTAATCAGTGTCACCAGTGGGAGTCACTTCTAAAGAATGACTAAAAACAACAACAACAAAACAAAACTCTAAATGGTTTTCCTTATGGGTCCGTGAACTGAGAAGAGCTCCTTCAGATCTACTCTTGAGACAAAAACAGGAGCAAACAAAAAGATCAGCTGCATGAACAAACACAGCAAGTAATTTTCAGGGGTGATAAAAAAGCTGGAGTATTTCCTCTTCTAAAAGATTAATATAAACATTTCACACAACATGGAGATATCGATAGCAAGATCTCCTTTGCTCCTTGCTGTAGCCTTTTTGTGAGGGCTTTAATGCCTGAAGACTCATGACTATAGCCAAGAAAATAAGTCAAGAATAAATCTGAGCTTAGAGGAGAAGGCAGGCAAATATACCAAAGGAGAGTTCTGATATCTGTTGCTGTTGTCCAAGCCTTTTGCTACCAGTCCAAGGAAACAGAAAAAAGATGAAGTTTGGGAAACTGGAGATAGAAAGTATTTGCTGTTTTCTAAGGCGTCTGAATGTGGCCATTGATTATGCTAGACTAGATATTTTTTAAAATTATATTTTTAGCTCAATACATAGCTCTAAAGCAGGGTTCAGTTTTGGTGTGCTTTACACTGAAATGGTTATATACAGAGGGGGTGGAAATGGTTATTAATCATTTACTCTTCAACTATCCTTTTAATGGAAAACTAGAATTGACAGTATTTATTAAAATGAACAGTGCCACAAAACAGAAATGTATATAGAAAGCACTGAACCACAAACTTTTACAGTAGCAGGAATAAACTAGCATAGCATAAATACAGTCATAACATTGAAACATTTCAATCTGTTTCTGCAGTTTAAAACATAGCTGTGTCATGTTCATCAACTTTCACCTCCCACTTCAATTAGATTTGCCTAACATATAATGAACAAATCAGCAGTCAAGATAAATTTTCAAAAGGCTCAAGCCAACGTGAAAGGTTTAAGCTTAGTATTAGTAAACTCTCAGAATACTTAAAAATAAAACAAAACACAATAAAACTTAACACACATACATACATGAAACAGTGCAGTAAGAACTTCAGACAAGGGCAGTGCACTTCTGGTTTAAGGAAACCATATTTGTAAGCTTAATTATAACAAACGTCTACCTAAATAATGGTTTAATGGGATATCCAGCATTTGATATGCATTTAATATGTATGGTCAAAAAACCTGAAAAACCAATTCAACAGTAATGATACCATATCAGTAACAAATTCCTACTTTATTTCTATATTGCACATACTTCTACTGTCTACTGTTAAAATTTACTTCTTAATCTAAATATCAAAGGATTATACCTATAACCCTTGTAAAAATATTTACCTTGAATAAATATTCAGATTTTCCTTTCTTAACAAACCAGAATGAGAATGAATTCAGCTTTGTTAATCCAAAGCTATTTTAAAGAGAAGGGCAAAGGTATTGGAAACAGCATGTTAATCACAAAATTATTGGTTTAACAACCATTTCAGTTTTGAAAAATATTTCTGTGTTTGGAGTGTTTAAAGTCTGATCTTTTTTAAAACTAACACATATTCCCTAAAGAGATTAATCATATCCTTGACTGGTCTGGAGCACTGTTTGGAAAGTAGACACAGAAAAAATTTTAGATTAAATGGCATATAACACAAATGGCATTAAATAGGTCACCTGTTTCACATAAAATAAAATGACTAGCACCTCCTTTCTGCTCCCAAAGTAAAAAGGCCTAAAAGGCCACATGAAACATGAGTAATTACAGTAAGTTTCATTCGTAAAGTATTGAGAAATCCACTACATTAGAGGGTTCTCACATCTAAAGCCTTAGGTTCAAGGCTACTGTGTAAAAGTGAACTGAAGGGCCAAAGGAGAGAGACAGATGGGATTCAGTTCCAGGAAGGTCCTTATTTATGTAGGTTGTGGGGAGATTTTTCAGGGACTCTCCTGCATCCCATCCTCAGTTTCCAGTTCTGCCAACTGCCTCCTAAGTACATTTACTTTTGCTTGTAATTCCTTGTTATATTCAATGATGTTAACCATTTCTTCATATGCTTCATCCAAATACTTGGAGGATCTGTTCCAACGGAGGAAAATACCTATTGAATCCAGGAAAGGAAGACAGAAGGCAAAAAGATACATACAATGGATTAACATTATTCCATCATTATACATTCTTTTTTCTTCTTCTTAAAATTCACATCTGTGTTTTATTATACTCTGGAAGAAGCAGGAATCCTGAAGTACTGAAAGTGTAACTAAATACATTAAAACATCACTATTTCTATGTACATAATCATTCATTCTTCAACCTCTCCCCAACAAAATTATGAAATGGATTAAAACACTATTCTCTGATATATCCAGGATTATAAATAAGCTGGTAACTTACAATGCCATAAATTTTCCAGTTTCACAATACAGTGAATTACAGAATTTCAATTACAGAACTTTACTCAGAACCATAGGACCTCATACATGTGTAAAATCACTTTCACCAGAAAAGTGTGAGTTAGAGCAACCGCTGAACCATACATTGTTATTTAAAACCCTAAACTTCCCAACAAACAAAAGCTTAGGACCAGATGGCTTCACAGGTGAAATCTACCGAACATTTAGAGAAGAGTTAATACTTATTCTTCTCAAACTATTCCAGAAAGTTGAAGGGGAAGGAATGTTTCCAAACTCATTCCATGAGGCCACCATTACCCTGATACCAAAACCAAACAAACACACAAAACAAGAAAATTATAGGCCAACAGCCCTGATAAACATAGATGCAAAAATCCTGAACAAAATATCAGCAAAGTGAATTCAGCAATACATGAAAAGCATCATATACCATGATCAAGCAAGATTCATTCTAGAGATGCCAGGATGGTTCAACAGCCACAAGTCAATCAACACAACATGCCACATTAACAAAAAGAAGGATAAAATCATGTGATCATCTCAACAGATGCAGACAAAGCATATGATAAAATTCAACATTCATTTATGATTAAAAACTCACAACAAACTAAGTATAGAGGCCATATATGACAAACCAACAGCTAACATACACAACCATGAAAAGCTGAAAGCTTTTCCTCTAGATCACAAACAAGACAAAGAGGCCTAATCTTACTAATACTTTTACTCAACACAGTATCAGAGATCCTAGCCCAGAAATCAGACAAGAAAAAGAAATAAAAGGCTCCCAAATAGGAAAAGAAGCAACACTGCCACTATCTGCAGATGACATAATACTATATATTATAAAAAATCCTGAAGACTCCACCAAAAAACTACTGAGACTAATAAATTCAGTAAGGTTGAAGAATACAAAATTAATACACATAAGTTCACATTTTTATATAATAACCATGAACTATCAGAGAAATTAAGAAAAACAATCCCATTTATAATTGCATAAAAAATACCTAGGGATAGGAGGAAGATCTTTCACTAAAGAAGTAAAAGACCTATACTCTGAAAACTATAAGACATTGATAAAAGAAACTGAAACAGCACAAATAAATGGGAAGATATACCATGCTCATGGATTGGAAGACTATTGTAAAATGCCCATACTACCCAAAGCATCTACAGATTCAATGCAATCCCTATCAAAAGACATTTTTCACAGAAATAGAACAAATAATCCTACAATCTGTATGAAACCACAAAAGACCCCAAATAGCTAAAGCAATCTTGAGAAAAGAACAAAGCTGGAGGTATCACCTTCCCTGAGTTCAAGATATACTACAAAGCTACAGTGACCAAAACACTATGTTAACAGCACAAAAACAGACACACAGACCAACAAAACAGAGGGGAGTCCAGAAATAAACCCACACTTAAGACAGTCAATTAATTTTCAACAAAGAAGGCAAGAATATATAGTGGGGGAAAAGATAGTCTCTTCAATAATTCAAGCTGGGATAACTGGACAGCTACATGCAAAACAATGTACTGGACCACTTTCTTACATCATATACAAAAGTAAACTCAAAATGGATTAAAGATTTAAATGTAAGAACAGAAACGATAAAACACGTAGAAGAAAGCATAGGCAGTATCTCTTTGACATCAGTTTTAGCAGTAATTTTTTGGATATGTCTCGTCAGGCAAAGGCTAACAAAAGCAAAAATGAACAAATGGGACCACATCAGACTAGAAAGCTTTTGCACAATGAAGGAAACCATCAACAAAAGGCAACCTACTGAATGGGAGAAGATATTTTGAAATGATATAACTGATAAAGGGTTAATATAAAAAATATAAAAGAATCACATAACTCAGTATCAAAAAAACCAATCCAATTAAAAAATAGGTACACGACTTGAATAGAAATTTCTCCAAAGAAGACATATAGCTGGCCAAGAGACACAGAAGAAGATGCTCAACATCACAAATTATCAGGGTAAAATGCAAATCAAAACCACATGAGGTATTAGCTCACACCTGTCAGAATGACTAGTATCAAAAAGACAAGAAATAACAGCCATTGGCAAGGATGCAGAGAAAAGGGAACCCTCATGCATTGTAGGTGGGAATGCAAAATTGTGTAGCCACTACGGAAAACAGCATGGAGGTTCCTCAGAATATTAAAAATAGACTACTATAGGATCTAGCATTTCCACTTCTGGGTATTTATCCAAAGAAAATGAACACACAAATTCAAAAAGACATATGCACCCCTATGTTAACTGCAGCATTATTTATGATAGCCAAGGTATGGAAGCAACCTAAGTGTCCATCAACAGATGAATGGATAAAGAAGATGTAGTATAGATACACCACAATGGAATACTACCCAGCCATAAAAAAGAATGACATCTTCCTATTTGCAACAATATAGATGGGCCCAGAGGGTATCATGCCAAGTGAAATAAGTCAGGTGGAGAATGATAAATCCCACATAATTTCACTTAGATGTGGAATCTAAAAAACAAAAACAAAACAAAACAAAACAAACAAAAGAAAACAGAAACACAGATACAGAGAACAATTTGATGGTTGCTACAGGGGAGGGAGATGGGGTGATGGACAACAGGGAAAGGGGATTAAAAGGCACAAACTTCTAGTTATAAATAAGACATGGGGATGCAATGTATAGCTTAGGGAACATAGTTAATAACAGTGTAACAACTCTGTATGGTGACAGGCTGTAGCTAGACTTACCATGGTGATCACTTTGTAATGTATGTAAATGTTGAATCACTATGCTGTACACCTGAAACTAATATATGTCAACTACACTTCAATTAAGGAAAATAATAAAAAGCCTAAACTTCAGTGTGCTCTCTCCCTATCTCTTAAGAGGTAGTCTTCCAATTCTACAGGCACATCCTTCTTTTCCCAATAACTATCCTTTTTTTATAGACTAAAAGGAAACATTTCCTCATCTGCATAGATCTACATTAGCTCTATCATCCCAACATCATGGCTTAAAGACATTCAAATAAGGAGGTACAAAAACTTTCCAGGCAGCAGTATTGTCAGTAGCTGGTAAGTTCACAAAGGTTTTATGATTCTTTAAAACACTTTCTATAAACCAAACTGCCAGAACCCTAAAGCTACTCTCTATCAGAAAGGGAAAACAGAAACATAGCTTAAAGAATGGACTTTGTTGATTTTTCTGTTATATGAGCCTGTATTTAAAATCCTGTTCTTCAATTCAGGAATTACTTAATACTAATGGCTAAATATGATGTAAATATAAACAGAAGAGAGACATTTTAAGCTCATTATACAACCCATATACCCACTATGAGAAGATTTTACCTCACACAGAATTTCTTCCATTTCTAAGCTGGGGCACTAAACACATATGGAAACTCTGTTCTTAATGGAATGGTAGGAATTCATTCATGTAACAACAAGATTTCCTCCAATCACTTCATCTCTAAACTCTCAATGAGGTTTGGTAAAAAACTAGTTAAATCGTCCATTAGGCCATTCAACTCCAAATCTGGCTTTTCTCCCAAGTAGCTAGTCTCTTACTTCAGTTACTAAACATGACAGTGGCTTCTAGGTAAACTGTCCCAGAAATCTTTAACGAAAAGTTTGGCTGTAATCTCTCATTTAAGAGATCACTTATCCTGTACCGGGGACTGTCTACAACAATGAAGAAAGTAAGCAAAGAGAAGTTCTGAGCAGCCAAAAATTCCCAAAGCACTAAACCTCAGACTCCGAGAACCTGGAGACTATCTGAGGCCACTTTCCCACAATTCTAACTTGCGGACACCTAAACAGATAAGATTAGAAGCATAAACTGAGGAGGAAGGAAGCAGCTAATGACAGATATGCCAAGAGGAATGAGATGTGAGAGCTGACATCCAGAGAAGTGACAGAAACAGACTTAGTCTCAAACTGAGAGAGCAAAGCAATCTGAGGCCCTTTTACAGATAAAGGGCAAACAGTTTCCCACACATGAACTGCCCTTGTGGGCATAACATATTAAAATGTGGTATAATAACTGACATTTATGGTAATTCAGTTCAATTACCAAACAGCTAGCATTCTTTGTGTGTAGGTTTTGTGCCATTTAATACAGATGAGGGGCGCCTGGGTGGCTCAGTCAGTTAAGCGTCCGACTCTTGGTTTAGGCTCAGATCATGATCTTGGGGTCATGAGATCAAGTGCCTCATTGGGCTCAGTGCAAGAGTGCGCTTGAGATTCTCTCTCTCCCTCTCCCTCTGCCACCCGGGTGGCTATGCTCTCTCTCAAATAAATAAATAAATATTAAAAAAAAATACAAAAATGAATAAAGATGTACTTAATACCTTCAAAATGATCAAAAAGAAATGGCACTTTGTAGTCTTTGTTTAAGGGATGGCTAATATAGTTTAGACAGATTTTGGTTAGATTTTTAAAGACAAGCTTTGGTATTTATGGAGATAAATTTCAGGAGTCTGAAAAATTTATGTAGGTTAAATACCTTCTTTAGAATGAACTGGAAAATTAAGTATGGATTATTGTTCCACATGAACAATGAGGTATGTGCATCACTGCACTGATAGCATTATGTTTGTTTATAGAACCTTACTAGAATGACTAGTTCATTAACCTTTCAGTAGCATTTAACAGAGGAACCTTTCCCAATGGCTGCTTAATAAAGGAAACAGAAACCATTTCCTTGGAGCTTACAATTTATTCCTATCCCAACTACCTACCAACTTTCTTACACAAAAAAGTAATGTACTTTCCCTCATACCCATTAGAATGGCCACTACCAAAGGGGGGAAAAATCCGAAAATAACAAGTGTCGGCAAGGATGTGGAGAAATTGGAACCCTTGTGCACTGTTGGTGCAACTGTAAAATGGTGCAACTGTTATGGAAAATGGTATGGTAGTTCCTCAAAAATTAAACAGAATTATCATATGATCCAGCAATTCCACTCCTGGGTACATACCCAAAAGAATCAAAAGCAGTGTCTTGAAGAGATAACTGTGCACCTGTGTGCCAAAAGGTGGAAGCAACCCAAGTGGCCATCAGTGTATGAATGGGTAAACAAAATGTGCTAAACACATACGATGGAAAACTATTCAACCTTAGACATTCTGACACAGGCTACGATATGGATGTATCTTGAGGACATTATGTTAAGTGAAAGAAGTCAATTCACAAAAAGACAAATACTGTATGATCCCATTCATACGAGGTATCTAGAGTTGTCGAACTCATAGACACAGAAAGCAGAATAGTAGTTACCAGGGGCAATGGGAAGTTGTTTAGTAAGTATAGAGTCAGATTTGCAAGAAGAAAAGTTCTGGAGACCTGTTTTGCGACAATAGGAATATACTTGACAAGAATGAACTGTATACCTAAACATGGTTAAGTTGGTAAATTTGTAATCACAATTAAAAATAGTAATGTATCTTCCCACCTAGGGAAAATACCCAATATAAACAGCAGTATCCACTGAATAATCACTGTTCACTTCTGAAATGGGGACTGAACAAAAGAAGTGTGACTAGATAACGGATGTGAAGGAGAGAACCATGCCCACACTGAAAAAAACAGCAGTCACACACAGGTCTGAGGGTCAGGTCCACTCACCAGCTTCAAATACCAACAACAGCAAGTACTCAGAGGCAGTTCAGAGAGGGTCCTTGACTACTGATAAAAAGTCTGCAAAGGACGCAGAGCTTACCTTCCCATAGCTGAAGACTCTGTGGAGCAACTGAAGGCCAGATGACAAGATTGTTGGCTTCAAAGAGAGGATTGGTGAACTTCCTCAGTTCACTGGGCCGATTGACCCAGGACCACAGAGACATCGTTTTCTGCTGCAGCTTCAACTTACATCTGATTACAAGGAAGAAAACTGCATTAAAGCAATTAAATGATAACAACGACTATTAAATGCTCCTCCCAAGAGGACAGTTTCTTCTCTCTCTGTGTTAGAAGGCAGAACACAAAACTTTTAACAGATGAATAAAATAGTGTAAAATAAAAATATCTGTCAGAAAATTCAACCAGCATTATAACTCAATAACAGCAAAACTATTTCACAGGCTTTCAAGGCCAACCAGAAGGATAAAACCAGAATGTGGTGTTAAACATTAACCCAGAGAACAGACCATTTCTATATGCAAAATCCTTTATTGTATCTGGCACTGTATTTTATCTTATTTTTTAAAGATTTTATTTATTTATTTGATAGAGAGAGAGAGCGTGTGAACACAAGCACAGGGAGTGGCAGAGGAAGAGGGAGAAGCAGACTCCATGCTGAGCAGGGAGCTTGACATGGGTCTCGATCCCAGGACCCTGGGATCATGACCTGAGCCGAAGGCAGACATTACTTAACTGACTGAGCCACCCAGGTGCCCCGGCACTGTATTTTAATTTAAAATAACTAAATATAAAAATAACTTTCTTTTTTGTTTTGGAAAAGTCTAGAATGCAAAGAACAAAGATTACAGACATATTAAAAATAGAGGTTGAGTCAAATCTCAAAGCCTAAAATTTTTTAGAGACTTAGCTTTTAGGACAAATAAATTACATGTACATAAAATGCAGATGGACTGTCAAAGATTAAAAATGAATATGTATCTTGATGTAAATACAGATTCAATCTACATTTATATACAATGAACAGCCTTCACAATAACCCTGAAATTCTGTAACACTCTTTTATCATAGAATAAACTCACAGGGATAGAACATGAACTGATACATTTTGGAAAAAATAAATTTTAACAAGAACTGAAAGATAATTTGTGGTAAGCCTTACATTAACCAAAAAGATAACATATTCAATTTTCATAGGCTTCTACTCAAGTTGAAGTTTTGCTATAAAATTGGTTTTGTCTCTGAAACTACTTATTAGTTAATTATGTGCACCCTTCTTATGTTAGCAATAAAAAAAATCCACATAATCACAGAACTCCCATGTATACTGCAATTTAATTGCTAGGATAGCAAGTCCTATACTATGTCCCCAGGAACCAGGCATGGCGAGGATAGGAAACCGCTGTACCCACTGCTCCTGCAGTAAGTGGTTTGGCCCTGCCCCCCAAACCTATGGCTAGCCAGTCACTGAACTTTTTTCCACCAGAGCCCAACCCATACAGCTTCAGAATCCTTCTCAATCAGCCCTACTCATAGGATCTACCAAATGGCAATCAGAATGGGAGATAAAATGCATTTATGATCCCTTTATTAAAGGCTAGTTCTGGGGGCTGGGGGATATTAGTAAGAAGTCCATAGTCAAACGTATTATTTAAATGCTGAATTAAAGTTATATACGTTGCTTTACTGAAGAGTGTCTTAAAATCTTTAACAATTACTTTGTGACTTTTTGAGAGGGGACTACATTATACCACATTACCCAAATTTAACCAAGGTAAATCACCAATTCTCCCCCTCCCCCATAAGAGTATAGTCTAGGGGTTAAGTCGAACATGCCTTAAGAAATGGCAGGATTCGGAGTGCCTGGGTGGCTCAGTCGGTTAAGCATCCAACTTTTGATTTCAGTTCAGGTCAGGATCTCAGGGTCATGAGATCATAATCCACATCAGGCTCTATGCTAAGTGCAGAGCCTGCTTAAGTTTCTCTCTCCTCCTCTCCCTCTGCCTCTCCCCCCAGCTCCCGTGTGTGTGTGTGTGTGTGTGTGTGTATGTGTGTGTGCGCATGCATGACCCCCAATTTTCTCTAAAAAAAAAAAAAAAAAGAAATGGCAGGACAAGACCTAGATTTCTAACATATTTAAGTGCCATGAAGCGTTGCCTTTGTGATGATTATTTGTATGTAATTTTTTTTAAAATTTAGATTCAATTAGCCAACATGTGGTATATCATGTTTCAGATGTAGTGTTCAATAATTCATCAGTTGCATATAACCCCCAGTGCTCATATCACTGTATATAACCTTTACTCTCCTAAAAAACAAAAAACAAAAAAACCAAAACCAAAATATAACAGCAAAGCCTTGTTGACATATACAACTTTGTTTTGTTCAGCATTTCTAACCATTGGTGTAATACCTTTTAACACTGCTTGGTATTAGTATCTATCAAAGAAACTGTAAATATGCTTCATTTCACATGCTGACTCCCAACTGCTAAAGGCTACCAATTATCTTTCCTTTTTTAAAGCATCAGATGACATAGAACATGAAATACTTGCTGTCACATTCAGTAGAATCAATGTGCCAACCAGAGTAATACTGTAGTTCTGTGTCAAAATGCCATCAGTGGTTTAGTTCCAGGCTTGTGGCTAAGCAGGTGATAGAAGATTCAAGGAAGAATGAATGAATGAACTGACATTTTAAAAATGCCTATTATGTGACAGGTATTAGGCTAGTTTTCACATGTGTGTCATTTGATCCTCACTGTAACCCAGTGTGGCAGAGATTAATTTTTGCCTTTAACATGAGCAGAAATAGATTCAGAGAAGTCATATGGCTAGTAAGTGGCAATAGTAGAGATTCAAACTCAAATCTTCTAATTTCAAGTCTTGAATATTTTCCATGAAAGTACACTGGAGAGAATGAGGAAGGAGCTGATGACAGTAAAAAGGAAGGTACCTAAAGTTTCTCAGAGCATAGTTTAAAATGTTGCATGTAGCTGTGGGACTTCTGGAATGGTAGGGTAAGGACCTCTGTATATCTACTCCAAAAAGTAATGAAAACAGGGGCAAAAACAGTCAAAATAGGGGCGCCTGGGTGGCTCAGTTGGTTAAGCGACTGCCTTCGGCTCAGGTCATGATCCTGGAGTCCCGGGATCGAGTCCCGCATCGGGCTCCCTGCTCAGCAGGGGGTCTGCTTCTCCCTCTGCCCTCTTCCCTCTCGTGCTCTCTGTCTCTCATTCTGTCTCAAATAAATAAATAAAATCTTTAAAAAAAAAAAAAACAGTCAAAATAAATACTTTCACGACTCTGGAAATTAACAAAAGGTTTGTGACAATCTGAGGAACACTCATTCAAGAAAAACTAATGAACCTCTGAAAGAACAGGATTCGGAGCATTTTAACTTGGCCAGTGCCAACACTCTTTCCCCAGCTCTGCACTATCACTGCAAACAAGCAGCCCTGTCTCCACTGGAGGGGCAGACCAGCTTTGGAGCTCCTCAAAAAATACCACCCCCAGAGCACTGTCACGATTTGATGTGTCTGGCAGCTCCCTGGTAAAGGCTCCTTGGTAGAGTCTTGTAGTTATTTGACAGGACTCACAGTCTGAGGTTCTCAGAGGGAAAGGCCCTATTCCCCAGGGTATTTGTCAAAAACAATGAGAGGAAACTATTTAACAGCACAGTTGCCTGAGGCTGTCATGCCAGTTGAGGCAAGTAAGACCCTAGGAAAAATAAAAGATCTGGGGAATGAGATGTCCCTGGGCAGCAGGGGGTGAGATGGGGCTTTGTAAAGCTCTGACATATTCCTGCAAATTCAAAACGGTATGCACATGCCTAGGAAATGCTTGAGATAGCCCCTATTCTTTCTCCTCTGGCTGAACCTGAGGCCCTGTATAAGCTGAAGGCTAAAACAAAGCTGTGAACTACCTGAGTGTTGAAGTCATGCCTAATACACACATAAGGTCCCTCAGCAAAGGAGGAAAAAGTTATTCATTCAGAAGGTAGAGGATCTAATTCCCAGATTTGCCATATTATCTAAAACATCAGTTTTCAAAAAAAGCAAATTACAACACACACAAAGAAACAGGAATGTGTGGTCCATACTCAGGGGGAAAAAAAGCAGTCAAAAGAAATTGTCCCTTGGAGAGGGAGGACATATTGAACTCACTAGACAAAGACTCTATTTTATTTAGGATTTTTATTTATTTAGTTGGGAGCAAGCAAGAGAGAGAGTGAGCACGAGTAGGGGGAGGGGCAGAAGGAGAGGGAGAAGCAGACTCCCCGCTGAGCAGGGAGTCCAAAGTGGGGCTCGAACCCAGGATCCCAGGATCCCAGGATCCCAGGATCATGACCTGAGCTGAAGACAGATGCTTAACCAGCTAAGCCACCCAGGCACCCCACTAGACAAAGACTTTAAATTAGCTATCATAAATGGGTTCGAAGAGCTAAAGAAAAATGCCTGAGAAATTAAAGGAAAGTATGATAACAATGCTATACCAATGGACAATGTCAGTAAAGAGGTAAAAATTTTAAAAAGAACCAAAGAGAAATCCTAATTTGAAAGTATAACTGAAATGAAAAAATGACCATAGGAGCTCAACAGTAGATTTAAGCTGAAAGAAGAATCAGTGAATTTGAAGATAGGTCAATTGAGATTATTAATTTCTGAAGAAAAGAAAGAAAAATTGAAGAAAATTGAAAAGAATCTCCAAACCTATGGAATACCTCCAAACCTATGGAATACCAACATGCACAATGGGAGTTCCAGAAGGAGAAGAAAAAAGGGCAGAACGAATGTTTGAAAAATAATGTCTGAAAACTTCTCAAATGTGATTCTACACACCCTAGAAGATCAAGGAACTCCAAGTAGGATAAATTCAAAGTGTCCACACTAAGACACATCAGTGTCAAAAGCCAAAGAAAAAGATAATTGCAAAACCAGTAAGAGAAAAATGACCCATTACATACAGGGGACCCTCAGTGAAAGTAATGGCTCACTTATCAGAAACCATGAGGCCAGAAAGCAGTGGTATGACATATTCAGGGCACCTGGGTGACACAGTTGGCTGTGTCCAACTCTTGGTTCAGCTCAGGTCATGATCTCCAGGTCATGAGATCGAGCCCTGCGTTGGGCTCTGTGCTCAGTGCAAGTCAGCTTAAGATTCTCTTTTTCCTTATGCCTCTGCCCTTCCCCTCCACACTCTCTCTCTCTAAGATAAATAATCTTAAAAAAAAAAAAAAAGACTATTGATCAAGATGTCTATATCAGCAAAACTATGCTTCAAAAATGAAGAAGACTGATGTCACCAAAAATGGAAGAGTAGGCAGCTCCAAATGCCCATCCCTCCAGAGAAACATTGAAAACAAAAGTAGAAACTGTTAGAACCCACTTTGTCAGATTTCTGGGAAATAGAAGTTTACAACACACAAGCAAATGAAGAATCAAGGAAAAGGAAACTTGAAAAACAATAAAAAAGCTTAATGATATTTTTATTTGCTCTTGCCCTACCCTTACCCTAGCTCATGGAAGTCTTGAAGATGGCAGCCCACGCTCTTAGTATGGGACCCTGGTCCCTGGCTTCAGAGGGAATAAAGCAGTCCTTATTCACAAAGAATTGTGTCTCTCTGTTCTAACTTGTCCAAGGGCTACCTGAAGCACCTGTCTTTGTTATATCTAACTTGGAAATCACCATGGGCAGAAAAGTGGTGGGCATTCCTAGAAAACATAAGGTGAATGGACAACCTGTAGCCATCTGGGGGAAAAGATTATGGTTGAGGGGTACAACAGAGCACCAAAAACCCAAGGAAAAAGATTCTTTGGAAAAGCAGTGTATTCACAGTTGCCCATGTATACTGAGGAATTAAGAAAGCCATATGCATGCCTAAGGCAGGAAACATGCTCTGAAAAGGCCCAAGAAGATCCCAAGATTTTGGTTTTGGCTGATCTCTAGGCTCAGTGAGGGCCAGTGAGGGTGAGAAGTGAAGGCTGAGGCCTGACTAAGCATTGAAGGAATATTCCAGCATAAAGCCCATCTGTAAAGACTGCAAAAGGATTTTTTTCCTTTGTCTTGAGTGGTTTTTCCTTTCACTTTTCCCTCCCTCTTTTGGCTCCAAGTATTCAAGGAAATCACTGCCAAAGACTAGCTGAACACAAACTAAAGAACAGATACTTCAGGGCGCCTGGGTGGCTCAGTTGTTAAGCGTCTGCCTTCGGCTCAGGTCATGATCCCAGGGTCCTGGGATCGAATCCCACATCAGGCTCCCTGCTCGGCAGGAAGCCTGCTTCTCCCTCTCCTACTCCCCCTGCTTGTGTTCCTGCTCTCGCGCTCTCTCTCTCTGTCAAATAAATAAATAAAATCTTTAAAAAAAAAAAAAAGAACAGATACTTCAGAAACTACACGTGAGAAAAAAATACACTTTACAAAAGTTTAGAAAAGTCTAAATAAATAGTTACAGCTTATGGCAAGCAACAAATACAAACTCCAAGGAGTGGGAAGAATCTAATTTCCAGAGAGCTACGTTTTAACATTTTAAATGTCCAGATTTAAAATTACAAATGATGCAAGAAAGACCCCTAGAAAGTATGGCCCAGTCATAGAAAAAAAATTAACAGAAATTGTCCCTAAGAAAGCACTGACTTTGCTTTTACTAGATGAAGACTTTAAATCAACAGTCTTAAATATGCTCAGAGCTAAAAAAAAAAAACAACCCCAACAAAACAAAACAAAACAAAAACAAAAACTAAGGACAAAGAACTAAAGGAAACAAGGAGAACAAGTCTCAAAACCTAGACTGTATCAATAAACAGACAAAATTATAAAACAGTACCAAACAGAAATTCTGGAACTGAGAAGTACAATATCTGAACAAAACAAAACAAAACAACTCACTAGATGGTTTTAATAACAGATCTGAGCAGGCACAAGAATAAGCAAATCTGAAGACGGGTCAACTTAAATTTCCCATTCTGAGAAGAACAAAAAAAGAATAAAGAAAAATGAACAGAGCCTAAGCAGCTTGTGGGTACCAACATATGCATAATGGGAATCCAAGAAAGAGAGAGAGAAAGCATGGGAACAAAAGAATATATAAAGAATTAACGGCCAACTGGTCAATTATACCTCAATACAAATAGAAAAAACTGAACACAAAAAGAACCACACACACAAAATTATTAAGGGCTGAAAACTCCCCAAACTTGATAAAAGACATGAATCTACACATTTAGAAGTTCAACAGGCTCCAAGAAGGATAAAGGCAAAGAGACCCATACTGAGACACATTATAATCAAATTTACAAAAGCCAGACAGAGAGAGAATCTTGAAAGCAGCAAGAGAGATGCAACTCCTCATGTAGAGGGATCCTACATCATCCTTCTACAACAGATTTCTATCAGAAACTATGGAGGCCAGAAGGGACAGCAATGACATTTCTCAAGTGCTAAAAGGAAAAAAAAAACAAAACCAAAACCAAAAACTACGTATCAAGAACTCTACATCCAGGAACACTATTCTTTAAAAATGAAGGAGAAATTAAGACATTTCCAGAAAAATAAAAATTGAGGGAGTTCATTGCTAGAAGACTTGCTTTACAAGAGAAATGCAAAAAGGAATCCTTCAAGCTAAAATGAAAGGACACTAGACAGTAACTCAAAGCCATATGAAGGAATAACTCAGAAAAGGTAACTAAAGGTATAAAAGTAAGTTATTATTGTATTTTTTGACTTGTAATTCCTCTTTTTATTTCCTACATAATTTAAAAGACAAACATATAAAAATAATAATAAATCCATGTCAATGGGCAAGTAAGAATATAATTATATATAAGAATGTAATTTGTGATAATAACATATAGGGGAGTGGAGCTATGGAAGAGCAAAGTTTTGTATGCCATTGAAGCTGAGTTTGTATTCAAAGTAGATTGTTATAAATTTGGGATATTAGTTGAAATCCACCTGGTAACCAGTAAAAAAAAAAAATTAATATACATAAAATAAGAAGGGAATCATGATAGTACACTATTAAAGTATCAAACATATAGGAAGGCAAGTAATGGAGGAGATGAAGAACAAAAGAGGTATAAGACAAACAACATAAATCTCACACTGGCAGAAATAGGCCATTCCTTTTCAGTAATCACTTTAAACATAAATGAAGTAAACTCTCCAATCAAAATGCAGAGATTGGCAGAATGGACTAAAACATGATCCAACTATATACTGTCTACAAAAGATTCACTTTTGATTCAAAGATGCAAACAGATTGAAAATAAAAGGATGAAAAAAGATTTTCCACACAAACATCCATTCCACACCACGAGAGAGCTGGAATGGATGAAATAAACTTTAGGACAAAAACTCTTACAAGAGACAAAGAAGGATATTTTAAACTGGAATAAAGAGTCAATCTATCAAGAAGATATAATAATTATAAACATATATGTACCTTGCAGCAGAGCCACAAAATACAGGAAGCAAAAATCAACATAACAAAATAGAGAAACTGACAATTCTACAATACAGTTGAGGACTGCAATATCCTACTTTTGATAATGTATCGAACTAGACAGAAGACCAATAAAGAAATACATGACTTGAACAAATGTAAGACAAATCTAGAATACTCTGCTCAACGACATCAGAGTACACATTCTTCTCAAGTGTACATGAAACATTCTTCAGGATAGATCACAGGTTAGGCCACAAAATAAATCTCAATACATTTTAAAAGACTGAAGTCATACAAATATCTTCTCCAACTACAACAGCATGCAGTTAGAAATCAGTAACAGAAGAAAAAACACAGATGAATGAAAACAAAAACACAACATGCTAAAACAACGTATGGGGATTCAGTGAAAACAGTGCTCAGATGGAGATTTATAGCAGTAAAAACCTATATTAAAAAAGAAAGAACGGGGCGCCTGGGTGGCTCAGTCGTTAAGCGTCTGCCTTCGGCTCAGGTCCTGATCCCAGGGTCCTGGGATCGAGTCCCGCATCGGGCTCCCTGCTCCGCAGGAAGCCTGCTTCTCCCTCTCCCACTCCCCCTGCTTGTGTTCCCTCTCTCGCGCTCTCTCTCTCTCTGACAAATAAATAAAATCTTTAAAAAAAAAAAAAATCTTAAATAAAAAAAAAAAAAAAGAAAGATCGGGGAGCCTGAGTGGCTCAGTCCATTAAGCATTTGCCTTTGGGTCAGGTCATGATCCCAGGGTCCTGGGATCAAGCCCTATATCTGGCTCCCTGATCAGCTGTGGGTCTGCTTCTCCCTCTCCCTCTGGCCCTCAACCCCCCTGCCCCACCCCCGCTTGTGCTCTCTCTCACTCACTGTCTCTCTCTCTCAAATAAATAAAATCTTTAAAAAAAAAAAAGAACAAAGATCTCACATCAATAACTTTTAAATCAGTAACTTTATACCTTAAGGAACTGGAAAAAGAAGGGCAAACTAAACCAGTGCTAGCAGAAAGAAGGAAAAAATAAGAGAAGAGAGTAGATAGATGAAATAGAAAATAGACAACAGAGAGCATCAGTGAAACCAAAAGTTGGTTCTCTGAAAAGACCAACAAAACTGTCCTTTAGCTAGGATGACAAAGGAAAAAAGAGAAGAGGAAGCCTTTTGACTGTACCCAATTGAGATGACCAGTTAAGCACCTTTAAAGATCATTATGATAGGTATCTTCTAAATAAACCTATAAACTTGATGGCGTCTGGACTGTGAAAGGAGGCCTGAGGACAGTTTCCAGGGGTAACAGACAAAGTCTGGGGCAGGAGTAGGAAGACCTGTATTATAGCCCTACTACTGGTGACCAACCAGCTGCGTGTCCCTGGTCAAGTCATTTAACTTTCTGGGTATTCCCCTCCCAATCTATAAAATTGGATGGAGGGCAGAGCTGGATTATATGTTAAGGATTCTTCCAGATGTAAGATTACTATGATCTTATATAAGGAAATTAACACTTAAAATGGTTGCCCAATTTACTCAAAGCTTTTAAATCAGTGTATGGACTAATTTTAATCTAATAGAACAAAGTCTAGGACATGCTCTCACCTAGCATGTGATAGGCTCACAAGAAGAACACACTTCATGTAATTTAATTTATACTAACTGTAACCTCTACCATCTTATAAATAACATTAATGTAGAACCAAATCCTGGTCTCTTTTAGGAAGTGACCAAAACAGCTACAAACAAAATGGCCCCCATCCCATGTAAGCAGTATACCCACCTTTCACTTTCATTGTTGCCCAGGAATGTTCCAAACTGTGAGGCATATGCATGCTCAAAGAGCATGATGAGGAAATTCTCATTAAATTCAAAAGAACAAGGAAACTGACGAAGTATCTGCCACACACAGTCCAAGAAGAGAAGAAATACAGGTGACTCCCACTTCTGCTTACTATTACAATAGGCTGACTGTGCACAGCGCTGTTGGAATGGGTGGCCAGCCTAAGACAGAAGATGGAAATGTGACAGTCACAGCCTAGTGAGAGCACATTTATAGCACATTCCATTAACATTATTTCACACAGTTGCAACAAAACTCTTATTAAATGGAACATCATATAATTTGGATGGCTGCTATTTAGATTAATGATTTCTTGGTTTAAAACAATTTTCAGCAGCTGAGGAAAAAAACACAACTTCCAAATATTTAACAAGGCTGTGCAGTTAAGGCATAACCATAAGAACTGCAATTATCCTTGGTGAACTTAAAGTAAAATTTTCTAGGTCTCTATAATTTGTAGCAAAGTCAAAGAATATAAGGTCTTTAGGTACCAAACAAAAGACAGCTATCACCTTTTATCTCTCCAAAGCGGTACAGATTATTGTAAACTACATAAGCCTCACCACTAAATGGAAATAAATATGGAGCTCTCACACACAGATTTTATAAGGTCACTCCTGATATTAAATTTTTAATTACATATGGAAAAGAGTTATTATCATGAAGAAATCTTTATGAATACTTTTATATTAGAGATAAAATTGTCCCTAGTTCCCCTCTTCTCTTGAAAAGAACTGGAAGAGTCTGACCCCTACTGACTAAAGGAAATTTAAGAATCATTTGGATCTCTGGCCCACCCAGAAACTGATTACTGACCTTATCCCAAATCACACCCTTTAGGTATTTCACACACTTGCTTTACCTTTAGGTCCTTATACTACCTCATCTGACAAAGAAAATGCTATGAACATTTTCCAGTGGCTAATGGTATTTTGATACCCATTAATATGGTGATATTTAAGTAAGTAAATCACATTCATTTATTTGTTTGCTATACATTATGAGGAATGTTTCTGAAGAGATTTTTACCAAATATTTGAGATGGTGTGACTTGAACAGAGCTACACGTTAGTCATCAGGCAGGGTAGATAGACATGGCATACATAACAGCATTAACACATAATAAATCTGAATTTTAACTAGAAGGGCCAGAAATGATTTTTCTCCAGAGATAATTCTACTTTCAAAATATATCTAAACGTTTTTCTTAATCACAATTATTTACTAAGTTACACAGTGTATATACATTTATAAGTTAACCTCTGACTTGGGAGGATTTCAATCTATTTTATGAGGCCTTTATTTCAGTTGTCATTCAGCATATGTAATAACACTGTATTATGTCCTAGGGATAAAAGAGAAATTGGGCATGGTTCCCTGACCTCAAAGGAGTCACTTTATTTGGGTCTGGTTTAGGGAACAAGGCATGAAGACAATGGATCGATTTTTAGCTGTGAAGAAGGTTAAGGTCCCAAAGACTTCACGAGAGTAGCGACATGTAGCTGTATCTTAAAGCATGAGAAGGATTTCACCTGGTGGGGCAAGAGGAGAGAGTGGAGCCCGACAAGCAAAAGGCAGAAAGTGCTAAAGCACATGCCTTATAATTACAAGTCCTCACACCCCCTTCCTGCCTTGTTTATGTTTTTTATCTCTAGACTGTTTTACATTCTTTGTTATTTCCCCTGTAGGTAACAAAGTACAATTAGTGAGAGTTTGTTGAGGGAATGAAATGCCAAATGAGCAAAATAAGGAAAGAGAGGCACAAAAATTGAGAGGCAGTAAAGATTATAAATGTGTACTGAGAGGAAGAGAGATTAACTGCTCCCAGAAAAGTAAACATACAATTTAAGCAGTTTAATCAATCAAAATTTCATACATTCTCTCCACTCCTGCAAACTGGGATCACATCAATTATTAGCAGTTCCTGTGCACACCAAGCAGCTTTTCTCACCTGTAGCCACTCTCTTTCTATCAGGGCCTCAAAACCACGGATGGTCCTGCTTCTTGGTTCCAAGATGATCTGGGCCAGGGAGGTAACCTGAAGTGTGGAATCAGTTCCTTCTGTTCCATGGATCAATATGGATGCCCCTTCCCTGATAGAAAAATCCAGAGTACAAATGGAATACTCCCAACACGGTCAATCAACTCTGTTAATAACAAACATTTATTGAGTACAGTATTTCCAACTCTTGCATTCTGCTCTGTCCAGTAGGGTTTAGAGTTGAAATAAGGCACATGAAGAGAGCTTCTCTTAGGAAAGAAAAACTATGGGTTCCAAATTTCACATGGCAAGAACCTCTTTAAGTTATAACAACCTTCACAAAACATTTTAGTTGAATTTTTTCTCCTTTAACAAAACCCAAAAGCAGTCCTTATCACCACAATAGGTGCTTATGTTTTCTGCCTTAATAGTTGATTAAAGCCCTTCTCATCAAACCTAGAAACATACACTTGAAGTTATTTTTCTGTATCTCTCTGACCTTGATTCTACCTTTTCACCATCAGCTGACTATAACGACGCCTTCATAAACTGTAATGTAATGGATCTAGGAAACAAGACCTGAACCACACTTTCAGAAACATGAAAACAAGAAGAAACATTTATTTTATTTTTTTAAGATTTTATTTACCTATTTGACAGAGAGAGACACAGCGAGAGAGAGAACACAAGCAGGGTGAGTGGGAGAGGGAGCTGGCCTCCTGCAGAGTGGAGAGCCCGATGCGGGGCTTGATCCCAGGACGCTGGGATCACGACCTGAGCTGAAGGCAGACGCCTATCAACTGAACCACCCAGACGCCCCAAGAAGAGACATTTAAAAAAAACCAAACAAACAAATAAAAAAAACAAGCATAAAACTGTCAATCTAGAAAGTCAGTGGCAATGATATTACTATACCATGATACTTAGAAGGAGTCTGGGACCCCATTATTCTAAAGACAGTAGAAGAAAACACCAAAAACTAAATTAAGTACATTTCCCATACCCTTCTTCCAACTCTCATATTGAAATGACAGTGAAGAAAATATTAAGAAAAAGGAAAATAACCTCACCACTTTCCCATAAGAATTTCAAGTTTGGTTATTGCTATTAATTCTTGTACTTATATCCTTTATGTAGCTATAACAAAAGGTAATTGCTTATTATTTCCACTTTTATTATGAACATTTTCCCATGTTTCCATATCACCTTTAGAAGTATTGTATTAATGGTTATATAATATTCTTAGGTGATCAACTAAAATTTACTTAAATGTCTTAGGAGTTATTTAGGTCATTGTTAATTTTTGTTACACTGTACTTAGCTTTTTGTCTTCTGTGGAATTATTTGAGAGTTCTTAATTTGAAAATAAGACTCTCTGTCATTCACCTAAGGTTAGGTTAACAGCCTCATTCTTAGGATGAAATCTTGTGACTAGGTAGCAGGGTATGAGCAAGTATTTTAAGGCTTCTGATGTATACATTGAATCGCTATATCTTAGTTATCTGTGGTATATTTTCAATTTAACTCAATTCATTCAAGGTCTAGTCTTACATTTTGAGCAATTAATTACAAAGGCAGATTTTTATGGAGGTATAAGTAATAAGCCAGTATATATCAGAAAAGGGAGCCCAAACATGGCAGAATAAACCAAAACCTTCAACTCTTAAGAGAATGTGGAAGTCCCTGTTTGTTTCCGGTGGCCAGCTGAGACTAAACAAAGGTGGAGTTAAATACTGTTCTGCACCTCGGTTTGCCTTGACCTGCAGCATCCCATTATTATGGCTGCAAACTCAGACAACATGGTGATAAGTGTTCATTGTCATTTACAGTTCATAAGAAACCAGAAGCCTCTGTATTCACCATGCAAGGGGAAATCTTTTTAACTTAGGTTAAAAAGAAACGAAACCCTTCAAATTAATGTCTCATTATTCCGTAATATTGATTTCTCTGCCTCAGAACTTCTTCTTTAACTCCCATATCCCGTAAAGCCTAAGACAAAAAACAGTGACAGCCTGAGAATCCCAACGCCAAAATCTCTACCCATTACTGGTTTTGTCATTAACTCACCACATAATCTTAAGCAACCTGTTCTATGATCAATTTCTCACTAACCATAAAAACATTACATGTGTATTTCCTTAGTTTGGAAGCATCAATAAAACAAATTACAGTCTCAAGGAAAAGTGCCATCCAACTATGTGGTGGCGATTCTTATACCTACCTATTGTTTCAGAGGAATCCCCTTCTTAAAAAGGGCATTCAAAGCTTCTGCAACAACTTATACCAATCCTTCTGCCTCTGTGTTCAAGTCTTCTGCCTCAAGTCTCAAGGATTAGCAACCTTCAACTGAGTGAATAAACTAAAATCACTCATATACTTCACATCACTGCCCTCAGGTTTGCTCAACTTGAGATCCTGATATAACTACACATATCAAGTAGTTTGTTAATAAGATACCTGAGAAATTAGAAAGAATCATTTTACTGTGTAACAGAATTACATGTTCCTTTCACCGATATTTCAAAAGTAAGAAGGCAGGTTGGGCCCTCTGAGAGCAAATAAGAAAACTTCTTTTCATTCTTTTTCATGGTTTAAGAAAAGGAAAATTGGTAGATTCACAATTCAAGGATTTTATAGAAAAAAAATAGTTCCTTTAGTACTTAAAAAAAAAGTTGTATCATTGAAGATGTGTGTATATATGTGGTTCATTAATCATCAATAAAATACCAGACTCTATACACATAGTTCATCGATAACTGAATGGCAATGACTATCTTATGTAGTAATTTATACAATGATCTGAACATAAGGTATAGACCAGGCGCAAACTTTCACGCAATATATAAACGTAGTCTGGATAAGAGCAAAGTCTAGTTAGCAGTACGTGTCCCATTCTGGAACACTGAAATACACTTTACCTGTCGATACACTGAGCTGCTAGACAAGCAGTTGTAAGAATCTCTTTGATGTGTGTCAGCCAGTTCGAAGCCTCCAATCTACCGAGCCATCGGTCCATGTTATGTGTTTGGTCATTACAAGCTTCCACGAGTTTGATTAAGCTCTCCTGAAGAATGTGATACCTTTAAAAAACAAGAAAAAGTAAAAAAGAAAATAGAAAATACAATGATGAAGGAGAAACCAAACCAAAACCCCAACCTCTACTATATCCAAGAGGCAAAGTAGCTCAAAATAGTATAAAAATATTTACCTTGCTATACAATAACTTGACCATTAAACCCTGAAAAACTAATATTTAAACATGGTTGCAAGGAAGCTTAACACGCCTGTCATGGTAAATCATTCCTCAGATGAACAGATTAAACCAGTTCACGCAGCTGAATTTCCTGACTAGGGAACTGGACAGAACACTGCATTTTGTGACAAGTCACGAGGCCACACCACTGACATCTGCCATCCTGTTCCCACAGATCCAACACTAGACACCCGGTACCTTCAGCAGGGATGGCCAAGGCCAGCTCAGACCCCATTGTTTTATTAGCTCCAACCCCCACCCACCCATTCCAGAAGCCCTGATAAACCTCTAACTGCAAACATAAACAAAAGATATTGGTGGAGGAAATACGATGTGAGAATAGGTGGGTGTGGGGGAAAGGAAGTCTCTAGTCAGAATTCTGACTTAGAAAAATATACTTATCTGTAGCATATCTGTTCACTAAGTGTGGTGACCAGTGATCTACTAACAGAGAAATAGACCTTGCGGTGATGAAATTGCAGAGTTCACTTAGAGAAAGCATGCTTTTGGGCAAGTCCAAGATTAAGTTTCCCCCTCATCTTATAAAACATGACAGGATATCCAGCCAATTTCTGACTTTAAGTTAATGGGTAGGTTCGTTTGAGAACTTGTGATCTTTGAACAGCTAAGGGCTCACTCACTCTAATTCGCTCCTAATAAGAGTCCATTACTGTCTCCAGAGTCTTTTACCTCTCAATGGACTTATGAATCCGCCTCCACTGGGGATAATGAGCTTCTTGTTCAAAGCCGCCGCCTTTGGCTCTAGCTTGCTGAGCTACATTTAAAGATCGGGTGTCAATGATGTAGCCTCGTTTTCCTGCCCTGAGGGTAGCATTTATCAGCTTTTCATCTTCTTTGCACCTTCTCCCATTTGTGCCAGTGAGTGGCTGACCACTTCGCATGATTACCTAGAAGCACAATGCAGTTTAAAATTGAAGAATAGCTGCTTTGAAAGTTTCTGAAGACAGAAATGAATTACCTAGATTGAGTATCTCAAAAACAATTGTGTGACACTTTGAAATGAATTTGATCCTGAAACAAAGAAACAGCTCTATATATTTGCAATAATTAATAACTGTAAAACAAAAATAAGCCCTGCACTGTAACAGTTTTTCTTCCTAATATCTCAAAATATTTCCACATAATACATTATAATTGCTAAAGAGATCAAACATTACAATTCATTTAGTCAGTAAATTGTTTACTGGACACAGCCTTGTAATACAAGAATAATGGCCTATGTGCCGGTAAACTTCTGTTTCAACTACATAAACAGGGTTGGCAGGTTTTATCAAGAATTATAGGGATGACTGGGTGGTTCAATCGGTTAAGCGTCTGCCTTTGGCTCAGGTCATGATAGTCCTGGGATCGAGTCCCGCATCAGGTTCCTTGCTCATTGGGGAGCCTGCTTCTCCCTCTGCTTGTGCTCTCTCTCTGACAAATAAATAAATAAAATCTTTAAAAGAATTGTAAAGGGCCACCTGGGTGGCTCAGTTGGTTAAGCGTCCAACTTTTGGTTTCAGCTCAGGTTATGATTTCAGGATCTTGAGACTGAGCCTCATGTCAGGCTCTGCATTCAGTGGGGAGTCTGCTTGAAATTCTCTCCCTCTGCCCCCCTCAAATAAATAAATCTTTTTAAAAAGGGAAAGAATTATAAAGCGAAAAGTCACCAATGGTAAGATAAAAAAGCTTATGTACTATTCTTCTTATGGGAATCATTTTTAGTATCTTGAAAGCTGCTTCTCTATTATTTATTCTCCTATGGCCCTCTTTCATCCTTTTCAGTATTTCAAGACCTAGAAACTTGTTTCCAAAGACCATCAACTATATATTTTGAAAGTTTGATTTTGAAACTTTTCTCAAGAAATCAGTATTATACTGATCTCTTCCCTGGTGAACAGTTTAGAGTTATTTCCATTTCATCCCATAATATACGCTGTTATATTAACTACCTTGAAATTTAACATGATGAAGAAAGGTCATCCAGAAGATGACAACAGTTAACTCCCAGTCTGTGCTAACCATGTAAATGGACACATAGTATATTTAATATTTTTTAAAATGTTTTGTAATGAACACTGATTAACAGAAATACTACTGAGCAAACAGGATAGATGACCTGATGTCAAAGTAGCAAATTTTTAGAAATCTTTTTATTCTAAATATCCGTATTTACTATCCAGGGAAAAAAAGGGAAATGGAATATGACTATAACTTATGCACTAATTTACTACTGGTTTCAAAATGAGAAACAGAGTTACTGACTGAGAGAAAATAAGAGAACAGAAATAGATTTAGAAAATATTTAGGGGGCGGCTGGGTGGCTCAGTCAGTTAGGCATTCAACTCTTGATTTCGGCTCAGGTCATGATCTTAGGGTCGCAGGATCGAGCCCCACATCAGGCTCCATGCTCCTGCTTAGGATTCTCTCTCCCTCTGCTCTACCCTACCCTCACCCTCAACTCGTGCACTCTCTCTCAAAACAAAAAAAAAAAGAAAGAAAATATTTAGGAAACACACAGCAAGTGCTTGCCTATTCAAGTACTGACTCCTGTGTTTACTAAAGTTGTAACAATAACATGTGTCACTCTTCTCCATTTTGAAAATAAAAATGTCTGCTCAATTTACCTTTTACAGGGAAATTTAGTAAAGATAATTAAAATAAAGTATCTTACCACTATTTTGGTTGGAGAAATTTATTTTTCTACCTAACAGTATTATTTTAAGTGTCAAATGAACATTAGTTCCCTTTGTACTGAGTCCTGAAGATAAGCCTATCTGGCCTTTCTAATTTTGAGCAGCATCATGAAAAGAATTCAAAATCATATCCTAATCACAAAACATACTACTCCTGATTCCCTAAAGTTTAAAAGAAGGAAGTCATAGCAGGAGAGACTAATCACATCTATGAACAAGTACACAGAAAAGGGAATATTTCTAAGACAAGATCCGCAAACTAAGACTTTCACTGGATCAAGCAGCAGTACCATACACTTACTTACCATTCCATTTTTTTTATGGTAATAGCTGAGTACTGGGAAGCGTCCTCCATGTCGAAACATAGCTACCTTTCGAAGAGCTTCATCATCAATGGATCTGGGAACTATGACAATTGGCGGGTAAGAAGGGCAGACAGCAAATTCCTTATTGACATAGCTTAACCTCCATTCACTGGTCTGAAAAACACAAAATACTTCAAAGCTAAGCAAGTATCTCAATGTCACAAAATAATCTGAAAATTTTAAAAGGATCTTAGAGATCAACTTTCATACAATGAAGAAGCCATCTCTCAGGAATTTAATATAAGGATACCTAACCCATACTTGAAGGAGTTATATTCTTCAGAATCAGCTTCTTGCTATGCTAGGGATCCTCGGTTCCTAGAAAGTGTTTCCTTATATTGAGCAAAATGTGGATACTGTAACTTCCTCTATTGTTTTTACTGTGATTTCAGCACAAATGCCTATTTCACATGGCATCCTATTAGCTGACATCATCCCATTCATCTTTTTGGGTATCATTTACTTTTTTTTTTTGGTACTCTTCAGTATAGCAACAGGAAGAGTATAATACTCTAGATAATGCTCAACCAGAACAGATGAGAATAGAGCTACTACATACATCAAATCCCTTGTTCTCTTCTGTTATTTGAAAAAAAAGGAAATCTAGAAAGACTGGTAATATCTTTCTTAAAACAATAATGACTTAATGCTAAAAAAAAGTTATACTTAGGAATCAATGAAATAATTTCTAACTCACTATACTAAGGACTAAAAGTATACAACATAAAATTATCCAATGACAACTTACTTCAAACATCAAAAATAAAAACCACTTGAAGACTGTAAAAAGCTTTACAGTTAAAAAAATAAAATTATGTATATGCACATTTTGATATATTCCGATAAATCAGAGCTGGCCTAACATGCTGGTCATGGGTTGCAGTACCAAGAAGATAAAATCGAAGTATGTTCAGCATACTGTAGAAAAAGAGAATTTTTTTAAAAAACCCTTTTACATGATACCATATATTTTTAAATTAAGCCATTTTCATTTTTCAGTTATTCTCTTTACCAATTTTAAAGAGAGTTTCTAAAAGATTTATTGTTTAAAAAAAGGAATTTACTGTTTCCTGCTCACCTCCATCTCATAATTCCCTTTCCCCAGAGGCAACCATTTTCAACTCTTTTAGCTTTAACTCTGGCGTTTACCTCCAAATTTCTAAATAATATGACTATACTATTAGTTCTTGAATTTCACGACCAGGCATTACTTATTTATTTCCTACTCTGGAGAATGGTATGATCGTCCACTGACCTGCAATACCACTTTCTGGCATATATTAAGTTTCCATACATAGAGGGCTCTCTATTCTGTCCCACTGGTTTATTTGTAGTAAGTCCCATAGCTTTTAGAATAGACTTGACATTTAGTAGGCTAAGTCTCCTCCTCCCTCTTTTTTTTGCTCTTCAAGAGTACCTGGGCTCCTCTCAGTCCTCTGCTTCTCTGTGCAACTTTTATCAAATTTCATGTAAAAACCCACAGCAGTTTTAACAAGACTACATTGACTCTACAGATTCATTTGAAGACAATTACATCTTTAAAATATTCAGTCTCCTTGTCCATGAGCACAGTGTCTCCTACCTTTTTAAAGCTTTCTTAATTTTTTCAATAAAGTTGTATAATTCTCTCAGTAAAAGCCTTGCATATCTTTTCTTTGATATATTCATAGAAACCTTATATTTTTGTTGCATTTTAGTTGTTTTCAAAATTGTGGTTGGTGTAGAGAAATGCTTACAATCTCAAGATTCTTTCAGCTTCCTGCGTACACAAGCATATAAGCAACAATGACAGTCTTGCTTCTTTCATTTCAATCCTTGTACTTCTTATTTTTCCTTCTTGTCTTACTGAACAAGCAAGGAGTAGTGGTTGGTGGGCATCTTGTCTCATTCTTGAACTTAAGGGAATAATATGTTTTGTATGTTTTTGTTTTGGGTGGCTTTATCAGATTTACCAGGTAGCACTTATCAGATTATGTAAATTCACTTCAAATCCAATTCTGCCAAGAGCTTTTATCAAGAATAGATGTTTAATTCTATCCTATTGGGTTTCTTTTCTATTTTAATTTTATTACACCATTTATGTAATTTGTCTTTCCTCTCTAATTTTGTGATATTCTCTTTGCCTTACTATTTAATAGCTATACTACAACACATTAAGTAAAGATTTCTTTTTTATTGTCTTGCATGGTGTTTGCTGAGACACTTTAATCTAAGAGCTTGTGACTTTCATGGATTCTGGAGAACTCTAGACCATTACCTATTTGAATAGTGCCTCTCTTCCATTTTTTCTATTATCTTCTTCCTGAACTCCCATTTAATAAATGTTGTTGGATCTCCTCCCTGTATTATCCATGCGTATCTAAATTCTCTATCATTTTTCCCATCTTCCTTGTTTCTCTGCTCTGTACTCTGAGCAATTACTTCAGATCTATATTTCGGATCATTGATTCTCTTTGTTTCTAATCAGCTACTTAACTTTACATTACGTTTTTTCTCTTCTTTTTAATCAACTTTGAGATTTTATTATTTGTATGAAAAATAAACTAGATCCATTTAGAGTGCATGATTTCCTGAGTCTTTGACAGTTGTATACACCCACGAAACCACCCCACCACAATCAAGATAACAAACATTTCAATCATCTCCCACAAAATCCCACGTGTATTTTTGTAATCTGTATCTTCCCCTCCACATCCCAAACTAGGAAGTCATTAATCTGCTTTCAGTCACTTTTGGTGTTTATCTAAAAAATCTTTGCCTAATCCAAGGTCATAAAGGTTTTCTCCTGTGTTGTCTTCAAGAAGTTTCACAGTTTTAGCTCTTATTTCATCCATATATAGGTCTACACTTATACCAATACGGTATAGCTCTTATTTCATCCAATAGGGTATTAGCTCTTATTTCATCCATGTATAGGTCTTCCTCATACCACATTCTCTTGATTATTGTAGCTTTATATTAAGTTTTAAAATCAACGCAAGTAAATCATTTATTTTTTTGAAGTTGTTTTGGCTATTCTAGTAACTTTGCATATTCACATACATTTTAGGATAGCTTTGTCAATTTAAACAAAACAGCTATTGGAATTTTGAGAGGATCTGCATTGAATCTATAAATCAATTTGGAGACAACTGTCATCTTTTTAAAAAAATTTCATTTATTTATTTGAAAGAGAGAGAGAGAGAGCACAAGCGGGGGAGAGGGGAGCGGCAGAGGAAGAGGGAGAAGCAGGCTCCCCGCTGAGCAGAGCGCAACATGGGGCTTGATCCCAGGACCCCAGGTATCATGACCTGAGCCAAAGGCAGACGCTTAACTGACTGAGCCACACAGGCACTCCAGAGACAATTGTCATCTTAATGAGAGGTCAGCAAACAACAATCTGCAAGCCAAATCCAGCCTACTGCCCATTTTTATAAATAAAGTTTTACTGGAACATAGCACTACCAATTCATTGATGTGTTATCTATTGCTGTTTTCATGCTACAACAGCAGAGTGGTACAGTTGTAACAGAGACTGCATGACTCACAAAGCCTAAAATATTTACTTTGTTGTCCACTACATAAGTCAGCCCACTACTGATCTTTTTTTTTTTTAAAGATTTTATTTATTTATTGGAGAGAGAGAAT